GCAGCTCAGGTTTGTTTTGTCCTGTGAGGAGACACCCTGAGCGATCAATCTCTGTCTTATTTGTCAGGAAAGGCAAAGGAGTGTCAAAGCCCCTAGGGGTTCAGACATCTGGATGAGAATTATGCCACCCAAGTAGCCACCACCCAAGTAACCCCATCTCTGCATGCACTTTCATACTCACCCACCCACCTCCCACCCACCCACTTACCTGCTCAAACTTTCACCAAATCACCCGCCCTTTACTCACCTGCCCACTCACCCAGCCATCCACTCATTCACCCACTCACTTGTTCACCTACTACTCCTTCGCCCACTCAGTCACACAGCAATGACCCACTAAGTGTCCACTAGATGGCAGGCATTATTGCTTGTTGCTAGCTACAGATTATTGATACAGACCGTCTCTGACTCATTGTGTTTGAGACAGACCATCCAGAAGTAAACCAATAAGCACACCACGAAAGAAGGTGGCCTGGGACCCAGAGAAGCCCACTTGAGGGAGGGACAGGGAAGCACAACTAAGGATATGAAAATCAACTGTGGAAAGAACCCAGAGATGGGGGTTGCCAGCCAAGGGAAGTAACTGCAGAGATGGAGACAAGTTTGCACAACACCAGAGGACCAGGAACAAGGAGGAGACAGTGCAGAGTGACACTGTAAGGGGACCTAGTGGGATCCGTAAGAGCCAGACTGCAGATCACAGGGACTGCGGTGGGAAGTTCGGCTTTCCTCTGAATGGGACCGGAAGTTACTGAAGGTTGGTACAGGAGAGGATATGTGTGCTCTGATTGAATTCTACAAGAGACATCCAGACTCAGCCATGCCCTCAAGTCCTCTTCCTGATTCTTGGGTGGCCCTCGGTGACCCTCCTCACCATTTGCCTTCAGTATGAGTGACAGAAGTCACTGTTCTGTACCCCCCCCCACACACCATAGAAGAAGAATCCCCACCTGCCCAGCATAGGCTGAATGCATCCTTCAGATTCATGCTAAATCCTGGCTCCCCAGGTGAGGGCATTAAGGGGCAGTTCCTTTGGAAGGGTGATTGGTCATGAGGTGGAGGCTGCGGAGCTCTCTCATCCTCTTCTGACAGGACAGTAGATGGTCATCCACAGACCAAGGCTCAGGCCCTCACCAGACACTGAACCTGTCATCACTTTGACCCTGACTTTCCCAGCTTCCACAACTATGTTGTTTAAACACCCAAGTGTGGGTGTTCTCATTTTCCTTATAAGGCTCTGTGCTGTAGGGCAAAGCCAATGCCTAGCAGATGCCCAAGTGCAAGTCTTCCATCAGTCTGATCCAGCTGTGTCCCTCCAGCACAAGCCAGACGCCACTTCATGTCCGGGGGTTTCCAAAAATGTCTCTTCTCCCCAAAAGTGAAAGCAGCGACTGCCGCATGCACACTTGTTCCCCTGTGGCTACTGACGTGGGGCGGGGCAGGGTGGGGGTGGGGGAGAAAGGGGAGGCTAGCAGGGCTACAGAGAAGGGCTCAGCCTGCCTGGGCATCTCACAGAGGCCAGACTTAAGCTGAGATGGGACAAGAAAACTTGGAAAGCTACAAGAATTGACCCACAGGAAGGGGGGAAAGGGAGGACCCAGCTGCAATATTCTTGGGTCCTGTCTCATAAACTTGCTAGACCTGAGGATAGAGCTCAGGGCCTTACACATGCTAGGCAAGTGCTCTCACTTGAGCCATACCTGCAGATTTTTTATTTTATAATTTGCTTTTGTGATAGGGCCTCACTAATATGCTGAGTGGCCCTCAAATTCATGACATTCCTGCCTCTATCTCTTGAGTAGCTGGGATTACAGGTATGAACCATCACACGTGGCTCCATGTTGGACCTTCTGCTAGGCAGTGAGGCAGAGACAAGTGAACTGCAAGAAGCTCCCTGGCAAGCAGGCCAGAGGCACATCGTATCTGATGCTTCCCTTGGGCTCATTCCAGAGACACATATACATAGAGATGGGACTGGATGGCTATTTCCATAAGCAAAGCCAACAGGTAAGCAGCAGATGCATTCTAGAGTGCCAATGAGAGGAATAAACTGTAACAGTTTGAGAAAAATATCAGTTGTTGGCACTTGTACAGCACGGCACAGCATTCTTCCACTTCTTAACTCATCTTAAGCCTCTTGATGGCCGACAAGGGTGTTCCAGAAATCAGTCATGGAGAAATCACCATAGCCCTGGCTATGAAAGCAAAAGACTGATATAGTTGGACACTTACTGTTTGCAGCTTCTTTTATTTTTAATTTGGTCGATCATGGGGCTTGAACTCAGAACCTGGGAACTGTTCCTGAGCTCCTTAGCTCTAGCTAGCACTCTACCCTCTGAGCCACAGCACCACTTCTGGTTTTCTGACAGTTAATTGGAGATAAGAGTCCCACAGACTTTGTTGCCTGGGATGGCTTTGAATCGTGATCCTCAGATCTCAGCCTCTTGAGTAGCTAGGCTTACAAGCGTGAGCCAGGAGCACCCGGCATGCAGCCTCTTTTTGTTATAAGATCTCATTAATGAACTACAAATGCAAAGCATGCAGGGGAGGGACAATGGGGGTGGGAATATGGAGAAGCACGTGCACTCAAGTGGGTAAATCTTAAAACCTACAAATCTGTAATAAAATATTTCAATAGAAATGAAAGTGGGGGGGCTGGGAAGGTGGCTCAGTGGTAGAGTGCTTGCCTTGCATGCATGAGGCCCTGGGTTCGATTCCTCAGCACCACATTAGCAGAAAAAAAAAAGCCAGAAGTGGCGCTGTGGCTCAAGTGGTAGAGCACTAGCCTTGAGCTGAATTGCTGAGGGACAGCGCCCAGGCCCAGAGTTCAGGCCCATGACTGGACCCCCCCCCCCCCAAAAAAAGAAAAAGAAATGAAAGGTGGGCTTGAACAGACCTTTCATTGAAGAAGAGGTGCAGATGGGAAGTAAGGTCATCATCCATCTACAAAAATGCACCTTCAAACCCTAAGGAGACATCACTGCATACCTATGAGAATGGACACAATAAAAGATAGTGACATTATGTTATTGGTGGAGGACCTGGAACTCTCAACTTGGCTGGGGTGGAGGTGATGCCGAATGGCACAGCCACACTGGGAAATGGCTCAGCATAATCCAGTGCAGAGGCAAATACTCCTACTCAAAGATCCACATGGACTTGCATAAATGGGTCAGACATGTAACCATGACACCCCTAGAAACAACCCAAACATGCAGCAATAGACCTAAAAGAGGATAGTGTCGCATCTAAATCATGTAGCAAGAGAAAAAAATAAAGTTCAGCCACACACACATATACACAAATATTGTGGGTCTTGCTGTTATAAATGTTGACTAAAGAAGACACCAGAGAACACAAACCACACATTTTCTTAATTCATATAAAAATGCACAGAATGAGCATCAGGGTTCAAGGATCTATTCACAGATGACAGCAGAATCAGGACTGTGGTTACTGGCGGAGAAGACACAGGGCAGGGAGGGGAGGGGTGGCTCTCTGGGACTAGAGGGCAAGGTTCCCCTTTCCCCTAAGGCCGAACAGTAGTGATCATGGGCCACACCCTGTGAAGAAACCTTCTCTGGAACTTCCTGTCAGTAATCTTGGATGCAGATGCTTGGTACCAGATGACTTCTGAAGCCACCCACCAGCCTTCTAATACCAGACACTGACTCTGTGTGCTCCTCCTCCCAGCTCTGTGCTCCAAGCCTCAGTTTCCCCACCTGGAGCATGATGGCCCCATTGTTCCTAGGTCATAGGTGCAATGTTAAGGAGTCCCAGGATTTGGCTGTGCCTCCCAGATCTGTGAGTTGGATCTTGCACCCCAGAGCGCAGGGTTGAGATGTAGATCAAATGAGAGGTCATTCAATCACAAGAGTGGGTAATCATCAGACTGGATTGACACAGTTTTTTAATGTCAGTACTGGGGCTTGAACTCAAGGCCTGGGTCCCTTCAATTTTTTGTCAAGGGTAACACTCTACCACTTGAGACACAATTCCACTTCTGGCTTTTTGGTGGTTAATTAATTAGGAACAAGAATCACACAACCACCAGGCGCTGGTGGCTCACGCCTGTAATCCTAGCTGCTCAGGAGGCTGAGATCTGAATATCATGGTTCAAAGCCAGCCCAGGCAGGAAAAGTCCATGAGACATTTTTTTTTGTCGGCCATGGGGCCTGAACTCTGGGCCTGGGCACTGTCCCTCAGCTCTTCAGCTCAAGGCTAGCACTCTACCATTTGGGCCACAGCGCCATTTCCGGCTTCTTCTGCTTATGTGGTGCTGAGGTACTGACCACAGGGCCTCATGCATACAAGGCAAGCACTCTACCACTAAGCCACCTTCCCAGCCCATGAGACTTTTATCTCCGCTAAACCACACAGAAAACCAGAAGTGTTGCTGTGGCTCAAGTGGTAGAGCACTCACCTTGAGCTGAAGAGCTGAGGGACAACACCCAGGCCCAGAGTTCAAGCCCCACGACCGACCAAAATAATAAGAATAAGAATAAGAATCACACAAGCATTCCTGCCTAGGCTTGCTTTGAACTGAGATCCTCAGATCTCAGCCTCCTAAGTATTTAGGTTTAAGAATGTAAGCCAACATTCAGCTCAACACTGTTGTGGGAGTGGACTGTTCTTAGCAGAGTGGAGTTGTTACCTTTGGCTCTCAGATTTTTTGCTATTCTGCCTGAGAGCCCTCTGCAGACACTGCCATCTTGCTTTTGGCCTTCCCAGTTTCCAGAACAGTGCGCTAAACAAATACCTTTGTAACTAATTCAGCCTGTGGTTTTCTGTCAAAGGCAGAGACAAGGACTGAAACAAAAGACATTGTCCAGGCCTCTGAAGGTTATGGGGGCTGCTGGAAGTGAGGCCAAGCTGGACTGCTAAGGGCTGGCTCTATGGCCTTCCCCTGAGGGGGCCCCAGATTGCCAGCAGGTCTTGGTTCACTACCTTTCACCAGCCAATGGGCTGTGGCTGTTGGGGGGAAGGTTCCTCAGCCTATTTCCTGTTTTCATACAGGAAACAGCAAAGCCAAGCAGCAGACAAGGCAGACACTCATACACGTAACTTGCCAGAGGTTGAAACAGAGAGCCGACCTTCTCTTCCTGGACCGGTGGACCCCCACAGTGCCTGGAGACTTCAGGTCAGTCAGTGTTTGACCCAACCTCAGTCCCCCCCCTCCCCTCCCTGTCCACTGTGGTTCAGCCCCCTCCTCCTGGGGCCTCTTATCAGTACTTGGTGGGGCAGGGAAGTAGGAAGGAGTGCGTGTGGCACCCCCTAGGTAAGGTGATCTCCACAGCTTATCAGGGTAGAGCAGGTAATGGCTCCTTTATTACCCCCCTACCCCACCTGCCCTCCATAACCTCAACTCATTTTGAAATGCCAGGTACAATCTTAAGAGTCCTGGGGAATAGTTTAGAATCTGTACCAGGGCCTTGCATCATTATGGCCCCAGAAATGTGTGTAAATGCAGAGAGCAAGGCCCATACCCGACCTCTTAGCTGAACTTCCTGGGTTTTGAGAGCCAGGAAATCTGCCTGAGAGCAGCCCAGGGCACCCTATCCCACCCCACCACCTGGGAGATTCCAACACATGCGTAGGTTTGGGAGCCTCTGTCGTTGGCCAGGATTCTCAGGAGAACACACAGACATCCAGTGTGGCCCACCCTTCACTAGAAGGGGTAGTGCGGGGACGTCGGGGGTGGTGGGAATACTGTGGCTGGACACCCTAATCCTGATCCGAGGAAAGCAGATCAGAAAGCCAGGACTCTGAAAATAAAATTCAGCAGCCAAGGCTGGCCAATCTCAGCTCTCTTTCAATGAATGACTCTTGTTTAACAGCTCAAGTCCCTGCCTCCCAGGGCCAGGAGATGTGATTTCGCTGTGCTAGAAGTTAATCCCTAGTAACAGTCCTCAGCAGCCCCTCAGGAAGGTGGCCTAGGTGCCCATTCAGACTGGACATGGCATGAGCACTTGAAGGGTGGTGTGGGAGAGGGCATCTGGGAGACAAGGAGGATGGCCAAGAATGCAGAGATACAGGGGAGCTACTCTGTCCTTTGGGCCAAGTATAGACCAAAGCCAACAGCACCAATATTTGCAAGGTTTTGTCATAAAGTTTAGAAATATTTGCTACAAAGGGTGTGGGGAAGTAGGGGAACTTCAGTGTGGTTATTGCCAAAGAATGTTTATAGAGAGATAAGATTTCCTTCTCATTTCACAGATGGGAAAGCTGAGGCCTGTGATGGATGGAATGCTGGATTAAAAGCCTCATAAGGCATGTGGGGGGGGGGGGGGCAGAAAGGAAACGTATTGCCCTGTAGATGGGAATGTAAACTAGTACAGCCACTCTGGACATCAGTCTGGAGGTTCCTCAAAAACCTAAACACAGACCTTCCCTACAACCCAGCCATACTACTCCTGGGCTTCAATCCTGAGTATCATGAGCCAGGGTTATAAGGACACTTGCATACCCATGCTCATTGTCTTACTATTCACAATAGCCAAGATATGAAAACAACCCAGATGCTCCACAATAGATGAGTAGATCCAAAAAATGTGGTACCTATATGCAATGACATTTTACATAGTCATTAGAAAGAATAAAATAATGTCATTTGCAGGGAAATGGATGGAACTAGAACAGATCATGTTAAGTGAAGTAAGCCAAGCTCAGAGAGACAAATGGCACAAGTTCGCCCTGATATGCAGAAATTAGATCCAAAATACACTGGGACGTGATATACACAGTTTTAGATGCTCACACACAGTGAGACCAAAAGAAGATACTTTTAGGAGAGAAACACAAAGGCACAATGCCAGCGCCTCTTCATATTTCTATAAAATAATACACATATTGAAATGAACTCCAAGATATGGAAACGTCTCTCTTTTTTCTTTCTTTTTTTCATTTTTAGTTTTTGGTGATTCTATCTTCTTTATATATGTGTATTCAAAAAAAGTGTACATCTTCAAAAGAGTACAGAACTTGAGGCAGCGGAGCTCACTGGATACTGATGAAAATGAACTATATAACTATATATATATAACTATATAACTATATATATATATAACTATATAACAAAAGACATTGTAAAAAAGGAAATGTACTCATTACCTGACTCATGTAATTGTAGTCCCTCTGTTCATTACCTCTATAGTAACAATACAGTAAATTAATAATAAGAAAAGAAAGGAAATCAATGGACCCAAATGTAGAGTAGAAAGAAATTTACCACCAGGGAAGTCAATGATGCTCCAAGATAATATTTTGATTCTAAATAATATGTTTGAAGGAAGAAAATAGTTAATGATTATCTTTATTTTTTAAATGATTGGAATTAATGCTACCTATAATAAGAGTATGAAAGTATTACTTTAGAACATGTTCTATGTTTCAGTGGGATAGTCTCTCTGTCCAATTTTTATTTCTTTAAAATGCTCAACTGTAAAAGTATATACTGTGAGAAATTTTGTAAAAATGAAATCATCTACAGACAGAAAATGGAACTTCCCATCACTGAAACCCCACTTGGTACCAGTGCAGTTTATATCTATTTAGCAATGATTTCCTTTCCATAAACACATTCACACATGTCAGATGTATGTTATAGAAATGTGAATCATACTTGTATATCACTTTGCACTTTGATTTTTCTCTTTATGAAATATCATGGTATCCTATATCTGCTCCTTTCTGGATAAGTAGTATTGGTACCTTCTGTAACCTTCCTTGATTTTAGCTTTCTTCATTTCTCCATTTTAGTAAAATGGAGAAAATTCAACACCACTTCATGAGATAGTTGTTGCGATTCTATGTAAAATATTCTGAATGATACCTGTTGCACAGGAATGCTAGGAAACAATACAACACCATTTTGTTGTTGTGTTACATATGTATCCTACAAATAGATATGTAGTTCTTAAATATTTCCTTTAATAAATATTCTTATATTTCCTAAAAAAAAACAGGCAAAAATGTGATGGGAAGAGACAGGAAAGATAGTTATAGCCCATGACTCAACAGGGATTGCATTATATTGCAGTGTATTGGCAAAATTCAATTAATGTTTATTACATATTTTTTCACTTCATTGTAGATGTTGTACATCAATAATCTCCATGCTTGAACATTTGGGGGAAAGTATACTGAGATAGCAATTTATCTTATGAGATATACTAAAAGAAAAAGATGATCTAACAAATTAGATGGATAGAGTGTGATCAAGCAGGTATAATAAAGTTCATGGTAGAGAATTTTAAAGAGACTTCCATGGGAGCAGCAATGTGTAGCATTTCCCTTTCCACATCTCTCAGTGGGTGGACCCCAGCCAGTTCCCTAAGAGGAAACCGACCAGCTGACCTTGATTGCTGAGATCCACTTTCATTCAGGATGAGGTGTCCAGATTTTTCATTGCAGTGTCCAGTCAAAACAGCATCTCTGGGCTCTTCCACGGTCCTGAGGAAGCCAGTGTCCTGCTTACCAGACACCCGCTCATGAAATCAGAACTGGATGGGCTGAACCACGAAATCCAGCACCTTCATTATCACCCATTTCACAGATGAACCAATGGAGGCAGATTCAGAGCAGCTCCTACTGGAGACAGTGGGTCCCAGGAAATCCTAGCCATCAAAAATCCCATTAGATAAGAAAGTATAGGCTATCCAAATCTTGCTTGGGAAGTTAGCAGGATATAGGGGATCTACCTCTAGCCCTATGTCACCTTACTTGGACAGGGCTGTGGACACACTTCTCAGGTAGGGGGTAGAAAAGAGGGGCTGGGAGGTGTAAACAGCTCACCTAAGGACTCGGCAGGCATGATGGAAGGCCACATCTCCCGGCTCCTTAAGAGTCTGAGAGACAAATGAGACAATCCTAGCCAGCCAAGCCCCTGTTATTTGACTCCGTTTGCCCATCTATAAAAGGTGAGGTAGGGTCAAGGCTCTCCTTCGATCCACTGGATGCCTGGATAACACCCCAGGTTCCTTCTACTCTGCACAGAAAGTTCAAGCCTGGTGGCTAAGCCCACTGAAAAGGGCTCTCAGGTCTAGAGCCGGGGCTGCAGGGGAGCCATAGGCATGCTCAGGCAGCAGTGGCCCCGCTGTAGTCAGCAGAAGGCATGAGGTCATCACTTCTGCTACAAAGCTGTGTCCCAGGCCCTGTTCCATCAAAGCAAATCTTCCCATTTCTCTTTTCCTGATTTGTGCCATTTGTAATTCAATTCCAGCGTATAGCTTAATTTAGCCATGTATATCACAACTCTGGCTCAAAGCATCTAGCACAGGCCAGATCCTAAAAACAGGGATGACCCTACAGGGCCCAGAGTGAAGCACCCAAGCTAAGGTGACTTTCCAGCTAACAGGTACCTCCTTTACCTCTCTAGGTCACTAACAATTTCTGTGTCAACGAGGCCCTCCCTCCTCATCGCAGAGAAGTGGGAAGATTCTGGGGTAGCGCCAGCCCTTTCTCTTGGGCAGCTCTATGTCTCTGTTCCTTCATCCCACAGTGGAGGCAAAACCAATTTCCTCAAAGGTGGTGGTCAGATTCAGAGAGAGAGCATGACAGAGCAGAGTACTGTCAAAATAGCTCAGGATGTTGGGGTGTCATGTAGGAATAAAGACACCAACTTGAAAGGAACTTGGCAAAGTTTACTTCTGCAGAAGGGTGAGCCATCAGCCAAAAATTTGGCAAGCAAGCACACAGAGCAGGCGGCCAACTCCCTTTTTATCCCTAACACAGCAGGCCCCGCCCCTCTGCTCACTTTGGTTGAGCTCAGGTTCACAGTCTGCCAAAAGATGCAGCTTCATTAACAGGATGCAGCTAAAATTCAAGGAGCTTCTACCAGTATGTCTTAAAGTGCTCAGGAAAAGGATATCTGTAATTAAAATATAATTAACAAGGGCCAAGCCACCTGGCCAAAGCAGAAACCCTGCAGAAGAATTTTCTCAAGATTAAGAGAAAGCACGCAACCATTTGCATAGATGCTTTTTCTCAGAGTACACAGCCAGCATGGCGTAGCATTTGAGATAAATCCTGGTTTGTTCATTGGTTCACTCACCAGCTGCGTGACTGTGGGCTGGACTTCTTTATCTGTTGTTTGGCTGGGGGGATGATAAATTTTTGTGGGCATTGAATTAGACGTGGGGTGTAAAGACCTTGGCAAGTATGAAGTGGGAATAACAGGCTATCAGTCAATCTTTGTTTTTAGACAGACAGATACATATATTCATAGATTAGATGCATTCGTAGGAAGTAGACACTTAGATGATGGATAGAATTTTAGGTAAGTAGATAAAGAAACTGATTATAGAGATAGATAATACATGTGTATAGTGATATAAAATTGAGTACCAGGGCATTTGTCAAGACATTCTAGCACCTTTTCCCCAAGTAATCAACAAAGTCATTCCCTGGATCACTCAGAGACTCTGAGCCTCCTGGGAACCGCTGGCCAGCTGAGGACAGACCCGGGTTTGATCTGAGTCTGGGGCAGGCAGGGGAGGGTCCAGCAGAGTGGGGGATCACTGTCACTCCCCTAGCTGGACAGCAAGGAACAGGCCCACTGGGGACCTCCAGGAGCCCAAGGTGAATGGACACTCACAGTCTTCTCTTTCACCCCAGCAGCCTCCAGCATGGAGAGTCCAGAGCACCCCGAGAGCCCTGGCTGGACAGGACCTGTAACCCCGTGTACAACAAGGACCAGGCAGGAAGCACCAGCCACAGGCCCAGACCTTCTCTGTGTAGGACCTGACGGACATTTAGGTGGGTTTGAGGCTTGGGGCTCTGGAAGGGGGGCAGCAATGGAAAAATAGCTGGAGTACTTCTGTAGGTGATGCTCTGATCATCCCAAGGCCAAACCAAGACAAGGGTTTGGTGCTCATTGTTTGCCCGGGAGCTGACCCTACAAGGTACAGCACAGAACATTAATGTGGGGGAGCAGAAGACTGGGGCTCAGTCCCAGTGGAGATGCCCTGGGATGAAACACATTTCATTTTAGGCACAGGGGAACTAGGCTATATTATCCCACATTCCTATCCTCCATGGGCTGATGTGGGCTCCTGAATATGCTACTGTGGCCCTAGACAGGCCCTTGGGAGAGAGTCATAGTTGCTTCCTTGAGGGAACCAACAGGCAGCAAGTATCACAACCGTGTCAACCGGCCCAGCCAGCATCTACCATGTCAGCTACAGCGCCATCTCCTGGCACAATGTCTCCTCACAGTTGTTCTAAGTGCAGAGAAAGCAGAACGGAAAGAACATTGAGCTGACCCTCAGCACAGAGTTCAGAAATGAGAAATGCCCATGAAGAATGATTAGGAATGCCACAAAAAGGCTCCCAGCACAAGTAGGAGGCCTTCACCTAACACCACAGGGCATCTGGGGCCGGTGGAGCCACTGGACAATGGGCCCCAGACCCCTTTACCAAGCATTTGCTCAGACTCAGTGGGGAAGGATTCTAAGTTTTCTCTAGATCCTCTGGGAGCTCTGGGCTCAAGGGAGGCTTGGGTAGCGCTGCTGTGTTCCAGTTAGAACATGGGCGGACCATCTCCGTGTGTGATGCCACGTGGGGAGTGTCAGGACAGGGTCAGGGGTCCCTGCTAAAGTCCCAGGGCCCCTGCTTCAGGGAGCACAGAAGTAAACGTAGTAGGCCCTGGCCTGCGGTGAGCATGGGTTTTTCTGTCCGCAGGCTGGAACAATGCATTTCCTAACCAAGAAACGGTGGGTGGGGGATGGGCTGCGTGAGACTGGCAGGGCGAGTGGATTCAGGTCAGACTGCACACAGGGGTCCCGTCAAGGGGATCCATATTAGATCTAGGCAGGCTCAGCCACCTCCCTGCGCCCTTGCTCCAATGGACGCTGCCCGCGCAGTCTCCTTAAGGGTGCTGTCCTTCCAGATGCCCTCAGTGGCCCGAGCTCCAACTCCAGCATGACCACTCGGGAGCTGCAGGAGAGCTGGCAGAAGGAGAAGGGCCACTGGAAGCCGGTCAAGCTGCTCTTTGAGATCGCTTCAGCACGCATCGAGGAAAGAAAACTCTCGAAGATCGTGGTAAGTTGAGGCCGGGAAGTGGTGGAGGCCCTGTCACTGCCTCCTTTCGGTGAAACCGCAGTTTTCCCACCCATGAAATGGGTTGGCATACTCGTCCTCAGAATTCTCCCGGAGAAACCAAGGCTTCCTGCTGGCAGGGTGCCAGGTCCTGTGAGGCTGAGAAACACAGACACCGTTCCCACGCTAAGGGACCAGGTTCCAGCCCATGCTACACCCCCCCCCCCCCCCAGCAATTCCTTAACAGCAGATTTCCTGTAACAATCCACTTTCCTTCTTTGAACAGGATTACATTTTGTCAGTGCATAAATACACTTCAGTAAAAGCCAGTATTACAAGACATAAAGAAAAACTATTGTTAAGAGTAAAAACCTAGCTAAGTAAGATGTTACTGCAATTGTGGCTGACCACTGTGGCACCAGAAGCTCTGTGCTGGGGGCTGCTGTCTGTGCCAGACCAGAATTTCAGCCTGGGATAGAGAGATGCTGGAGTAGGCCACTCCCTTCCTCTCCGTGTCATCCAAGATAGGGCAGTAATGACCGTGGCCACTGGGTGCCAAAGGCATGCTGGGCAGAGCCTTCACGGGGCTTCAGAACACTGACCCGTTCTGCTAACATCTGGAAAATGAATTAGGTGTCATTCCTACTGTCCATTTATACAGGAGAAAACTGAGGCTCAGAGATGGTAAGTCACCTGTCTAAGACCACACAGCTTGGAACAGGACTGGAATTCTAACCCAGGCAGTGCAGCTAGGGAGCCTGAGGCTTTGATCAGTATCCTCTCCAAAGGGAACTGTGAACGTTTTTTTCTTGCCATGTAACATCATCACTAGGAGACTAAATGCCAAACCAAAAGCCAACTCCCAGGTGTTCCAACCCAAGCTTCCCAGTTAACAACACAGGAAGCCAGTTTGGGCAATACAGAGCCAAGAGGGACCCTAGGCCCGTTGCACAGGTAGGCAGATTCCTTTTCCCCTGAGATGTTTCTAGTGGTTATTCCAGGATTGACTCTTGCTGAAAACAACTGCTAGATAGCACAGCACAGGGGGAAAGACAAGGTGAACACTGTCAAAGCATGCTCCACATTACAGGCTCTGGTGCAAATGTCACAGTGAAACTTGTTATCTTGCATAAGCAAGATCTGCTAACGTAAATAAATAAGACACACCATCCATCCTCGGAAACGAGAATTTCAGCAGAGCATGATGGCACATGCTTGTAATCCCAGCACACAGGAGGTAGAGGCAGGAGGATCTCCAGTTCTAAATTAATCTAACTTGCTTACCTTAGCAAGCCCCTGGAGAGGCCCAGGGAGGAGGGAAGGAAAAGAAAGGAGGGGGAGGAGGAGGAGGTCAAAGGAGGAGGCAGGAGGAAGAGGAGAAAGGGAAGGAAGAAGGGGAGGGAGGGAAGAGAATTAGAGGAAAGAAGAGAGGGAGAAGATGGAGGGAGGGGGAAGGAAGGAAGGAAGGAAGGAAGGAAGGAAGGAAGGAAGGAAGGAAGGGGAGAAAAACTGCATGTAGGGCTAGCCCATTTAGGGGTGCGCTGTAGATTGTTCTGGTCACTATTTTCCTTTTCCTTTGCCAGGCGGGATGGAGCCCAAGGCCTCCGTCTTCCGTCCTCCGGGATGGAGCCCGGGATGGAGCCCAAGGCCTCCATCCTCCGTCCTCTGTCCTCAGGGATGGAGTCCAGGCCTCCGTCCTCCATCCTCTGTCCTCCGGGATGGAGCCCAAGGCCTCCGTCCTCTGTCCTCCGGGATGGAGTCCAAGGCCTCTGTCCTGTCCTCTGGGATGGAGCCCAAGGCCTCCGTCCTGTCCTCCGGGATGGAGCCCAAGGCCTCTGTCCTGTCCTCGAGGATGGAGCCCAAGGCCTCCCTCTTCTGTCCTCTGTCCTTCCTCAGGGATGGAGCCCAAGGCCTCCGTCTTCTGTCCTCTGTCCTCCAGGATGGAGTCCAGGCCTCCGTCCTCTGTCCTCCAGGATGGATGGAGTCCAAGGCCTCTGTCCTGTCCTCCGGGATGGAGTCCAGGCCTCCGTCCTCCGGGATGGAGTCCAAGACCTCCGTCCTCCATCCTCCGGGATGGAGCCCAAGGCCTCTGTCCTCTGTCCTCCGGGATAGAGCCCAAGGCCTGTCCTCTGTCCTCCGGGATGGAGTCCAGGCCTCCGTCCTCTGTCCTCCGGGATGGATGGAGTCCAAGGCCTCTGTCCTGTCCTCCGGGATGGAGTCCAGGCCTCCGTCCTCCGGGATGGAGTCCAAGACCTCCGTCCTCCATCCTCCGGGATGGAGCCCAAGGCCTATGTCCTCGGTCCTCTGGGATGGAGTCCAGGCCTCCGTCCTCTATCCTCCGGGATGGAGTCCAAGGTCTCTGTCCTCTGTCCTCCAGGATGGAGTCCAGGCCTCCGTCCTGTCCGCTGGGATGGAGCCCAAGGTCTCTGTCCTCTGTCCTCTGGGATGGAGCCCAAGGCTTATGTCCTCTGCCCTCCGGGGTGGAGTCCAGGCCTCCGTCCTCTGTCCTCCTGGATGGAGCCAAGGCCTCCATCCTCTGTCCTCCGGGATGGAGTCCAGGTCTCTGTCCTCCGTCCTGTCCTCCGGGATGGAGTCCAGGCCTCCGTCCTCCGTCCTCCGGGATGGAGTCCAGGCCTCCGTCCTCCGTCCTCCGGGATGGAGTCCAGGCCTCCGTCCTCCGTCCTCCGGGATGGAGTCCAAGGCCTCCGTCCTCCGTCCTCCGGGATGGAGTCCAGGCCTCCGTCCTCTGTCCTCCGGGATGGAGTCCAGGCCTCCGTCCTCCGTCCTCCGGGATGGAGTCCAAGGCCTCCGTCCTCTGTCCTCCGGCAGCTGTACCAGATCGTCGTCGTCCAGACCGGGAGCTTCGACAGCGGCCCGGCGGTGGTGGAGCGGCGCTACTCGGACTTCGAGCAGCTGCACCGGAGCCTGCGCAAGGCGTTCGCGGAGGAGATGGAGGACGTGGCGTTCCCGCGGAAGCGGCTGGCGGGCTGCCTGGCGGCGGCGGCGGTGGGCGAGCGCGCGCGCGCGCTGCGCGAGTACCTGCGGCAGGTGCACGCCCTCCGCGCCGTGCGCCGCTCCCGCGAGTTCGCCGACTTCCTCACGCGGCCCGAGCTGCGCGAGGCCTTCGGCTGCCTGCGCGCCGGCCGCTACGCGCGCGCGCTCGAGCTGCTGGGCCGCGCGCTGCCGCTGCACGAGAAGCTCACGGCGCACTGGGCCCCCGCGCGCGTGCCCGCGCTCTGCGCGCTGCTGCTGTGCCACCGCGACCTGGGCCGCCCCGCCGACGCCTTCGCGGCCGGCGAGCGCGCCCTGCGCTGCCTGCAGGCCCGGGAGAGCCACCGCTACTACGGGCCGCTGCTGGACGCCATGGTCCACCTGGCCTACGCGCTGGGCAAGGACTTCGTGTCCCTGCAGGCCCGGCTGGAGGAGAGCCGGCTGCGGAGGCCCGCGGACCGCAGCGTCACGCTCAAAGAGCTCACGGTGCGCGAGTACCTGCCCTGACCCCGCCGCCCGGCGGCCCTTTGGGGCTCCCTTTGGGGCTCCCATGGTGCCCAGGGAAGCCTCTGTTTGTGTCTTGTTTCCCTTGGGTGCCGGGCTTGTCATCCTAGCCATTCAGGGGACTGAGATCTGCAGATCATGGTTCGAAGCCAGCCTGGACAGAAAAGCCCGTGAGACGCTTATTTCCCATAAGCTACCATAAAAGCCAGAAGTGGCACCGTGGCTTACGCGATGGAGTGTTAGTCCTTGAACAGAAAAGCTTAGGGACAGAGCCTAGGCCCTGAGTTCAAGCCCCAGGACCAGCACAAAAACAAAAACAAAATCCCTACAAGCTCAGCTGCCAAGACTTTGGGAATGATATGGAAATTACCTGTTTCTGTGCCCTGCCAGAGGAGAAATTTATGTCGAGTGTCACCCATAAAGCAGCACGTCATTTTCTGGCCAGAAGGCTCTCTCCAGCGGCCCAGGCTCCTTCCTCTCCTCCTGTGGGCCTGAGGGCTGCTTGCAAATATTCCCAGCCATCCTGACGTCTATCTTTTCTCTTGTAAAGCCACCCCTCTCCCTCAGTAGGTTCAAAACTCATATTGCCCCTCCAGGTCAGCTTCTCCCAACCCTCCCCAGGATAATGTCTAGTCCAATGATCTGACCTGATTAGTGATCCAGGCTGGTTTGAGTCAATATATGGAAGGCTGGGACCCTGTGAAGACCTAAGCCATCTGGCTGAGCTTATCAAGGTGCATTAAGGGACTGTAATTGGAGAACGTTAATATGGGGAACCACCTTGTCCTGGATAGGGGTCTGGCTCAAAGGAGAGGTCAAGGTACTCATGGACCAGCATTCACCAGACTGCACCAGATGCTGTTCAACAGCGTCACCTTGTGGTAGTCACTGTAGTGTTTGCCAAGAAAGTCCTTAAGTCCCTGAATACTGGAGGAGGAAGACATTCAACTGAGCATATGAGAAATTAAAGTGCTGAATGGAAATTTTTAAGTGGTGAGTTGATTTGTAATGTTCAAGCAGATTTGATAAGTTATCAAATGTAACATGTTCTCAGTTGTAAAATGCACCAACTATTCACTTAGAAAGACAAAAATGTGTGACATGAGAGGTTAACATTAGATTCTAGAAACAAAAGAAGAAAAATCCCAGAGACCAAAGTGTTAGGTTCTCAATGTCAAGGTCAGTGTGAGCTGAGCTACTGCTGTGGTTTGAATGCCCCACCAAAACTCCCCCAACCCATCATGGAGGGTAGAGGCAGGACCTCAGCAGGTAGGTAGGTTAAATGAGACTGAGGATGCACCCGTGACTTCCTAAGAAGAGATTGACATTAACACACTTGCTGTCACCATACACAACTCTGGGACTGCAGAGTCTTCATGCAAGAAGGCCTTCATCCAGTGCAGACCTCCAGGATCTGGGCTGAATAAGCCTCCTTTCTTTACAAGTTATCCAGTCTGTGGCATGTACTCACAGCAACAGAAAAGGAACAAGGACACTGCTATGCCTGCAGTTCAATCAAACTTAGCACTGAGTGGAGGATGGGAAGGCAGCCTCTGAGAATTTGGGCTGCAAGCTAGTGTCCACTTTTATCTGGGGACTGAGAGCAAAACAGCATGACCTGAAATAATTACAGCAGAGGGGTCATGTCGAAGTGGGTTGCAGTGGAAGTGTTGTTGCCTCTGTGAGGAAATCCACAAGGATCTAGATTGGTGAAAAGGGTAAGCGCTGAAGTGCAGAGGGAAAATGTACACCGAAGCCAGTGCTGGCTAGTGGTGCACTCCTGTAATTCTAACTATTCAGGAGGCTGAGACCAAGAGGATTGTGATTTGAAGCCAGCCCAGGCAGAATAGTCCTTGAGAGTCCGTCAACAAAAGAACTACAAAAATCCAACTTGGAAGTGTGGTTAGAGCAGTAGAACACCATCAAGAGCAAGAAAGCCAAGTAAGGAGGGTAATGAAGGGATGAAAGAGGATGACTATGGATGTGACAGTTGGTTCGCCTGTTTAAAACCTGTTGGAATGTTTTAAGTAGGATGAAGAAAGTGACAGGGAGTGTGGTTGATACATTGTGTGCATGCATGGACACTCATGCATAACTGATATGTGCTAATAATAGTAAGAAGAGAAAAGGCAGAGCTGCAGAGTGGGTGCAGAGGCCCTGAATTCAAGCCCCAGGACTGGAAAACAATACATAGAGAAAAGATCTATGAGATAAAAAGGACACACAGAAGTATATAGAGGTGTTCCTATCACCCTCCCAAAGGGAAGGGCTAGCCTTCACAGACTGCAGCGGTAGTGGGCTTATTCCAGCTTCCGGACAGGGAAGCTTTGGGCCCCAGCCACTTCCTGACCATTCAAAGTGCTAGCCTTCCCGGTTCTCCAACAGCCTTAGCCGGTGGGTGGGCTGGAGTTTCTGCTGGTCACCCACACATGGTGTCTTCATCAGCGACAGTTGTCTGTGCTGGAATGGCCGCTGTGGCCGTCTTGCGTGGATGATTTATTGGCTCTGCCAGGAGACTTGTTCGTTTCTTTGGTTTCTGGAGCAAGTCTCATGGAGGAACTTTCCCCAGGGCCCAGTCACCCAGCTGGAGTACCCACTTCCTACCTGCCTAAGCCCCTCCCTCCATACCTGCATTACTTAGTCCTTGTTCCAGGAGACTTTGGGGGAGGTAACAACTAGCAGCTGGGACTGGATCCCTTCTCCTAGCTTCCCAAAGCTGGGTTCACTGAAGAGATACGGAAAAGTTGTCCTCTGGGTGGGGCCTGGGGACCAGAAGCACCATCTCCCCCACAGAAATGTGAACCCTCAGGCCCTTTTACATATGTTCAATGGGAGCCCTAAACCCAGCCCCAAGTGATTCCTATGTGTACATGTTTAAGTTCAGTGAGGCTTGACTTGATGGGACCGTGGAGAAAATCACACACACAGCCTGGGCAGGCCAGTGTCCTCCGGTCTACCCCTGCACAGCCCCTCTTCTCCACAGGTAACTCATTCCAGGCTGGAGCTCTAGGGAGCAGCCAACTCCAGGTGCCCACCTCACAGACACAGCATGAACTGGTTCTGGGCACGTGGTTCCAGAGCCTTGTGCCAATGGCCAATGAGAATTTACCCATTCCAACAAAGCAATAAAAGCTTGCCTTGATCTTGGTCAGAAAGTAGCCTGGGTTCCTCCACTTCAGCTCAAGCTGAAGTCCCAATTCTGATTTTGACACCATCTTCTTTTTACATCATTGCCACATCAAAGGACCCCAACTCTGGTGGCACTTGGGTCGGGCCCAGATAAGACTGAGCCCCATAGTACTCCCTAGAGACAGGACAAGGCACTCCACGAAACCCATGTCCAAAGGGTCTCATATCTAAAATATACTTGGAACTCAAAAAATTAAACCCCCCAACAACAAATCCTCAAAGAAACAACTGCCCAATAAATAAGTGGGCGAAAGACTTAAAGAGAAACTTCTCTGAAGAAGAAAGAAGGATGGCCAATAGACACATGAAGAAATGTTCAAGATCCCTAGCCATAAAAGAAATGCAAATCAAAACAACATTGAGATATCACCTCACCCCAGTTAGAACGGCAAAAATCAAGAACTCTAACAACAACAGATGCTGGAGGGGATGTGGACAGAAAGGAACCTTACTTCATTGTTGGTGGGAATGTAAACTTGTTCAACCACTTTGGAAAGCAGTATGGAGGTTCCTCAAAAGACTTCACATAGAACTCCCCTATGACCCAGCAATCCCACTTTTGGGCATTTACCCAAATGTATACAAACAAGACCACACTAAAGCTACCAGCACAACAATGTTTATTGCAGCATTATTTACCATAGCTAAGATATGGAACCAACCCAGATGCCCCTCAGTAGATGAATGGGTCAAGAAAATGTGGTATATATACACAATGGAATTCTATGCCTCCATCAGAAAGAATGACATTGCCCCATTTGTTAGGAAATGGAAAAACTTGGAAAAAATTACACTAAGTGAAGTAAGCCAGGCCCAAAGAAACATAGGTCCCATGGTTTCCCTTATTTGCAATATCTAGTATATGTATGAGTCAAGCAGAAAAGGTCAGATAATGTGATGTCAGGAAAATGAACCCTTAGATATGTATTTTAATGTTTTTTTCTTTCATGCATGTGTTTCTAACGCATTTATAAGATTATCTCTTTGTTGCTTTGTATGTCCCTCCCCCTGCTTTCACTATATTTGATGTCAGTATAACTTGTGGAGGAGATGGGGAAAAACCAGTTGTTTAAGGATACAGGTGGACCTGTTGCAACAATGAGAAGTACAAGTTGTCATGTCCAAAACGAGCTTTACAACGTCGGTGCGGGGGGGGGGGGGGCGGGGGGGGAAGGGGGGGAAGGAGAAGGACTGGGATTGGGGGGGAGGGGGGAGGCTGGGAAGGGATGTGAAGGGTAAACCAAAGGAGGAGGCTGCAATGCTTGGTAAGAAATGTACGCATTATCCTGCCCATGTAATTGTAACCCCTCTGTACAGTATGTTCACAAATAAAATTAAACTAAAAAAAAAAAAAAGAAACCCATGTCCAGGGGGCTACGTGCCGTCTCTGCATGGGCCATGTTCTTGCCCCATTACGTGGATTTACATGGATGCCTGAGAGGTTATGGGATGTGTCTGGGGGTCACACAACTGCCTATTGGAAAAGCAGGAAACAGCTCAGGGCTATTTGGTGCAGAGAAGAGGAGAGGAGTCATGTCCCCGGTCCTCTCACCTGGTCCCACCCTTCAAGGTCATCTCACTCACCTTTGTCTACAGAGAGGAAAGCAGAAGGGGAGGCGACTCACTCAAGGTCACAGTGAGACAGGGCCAGGGCCAGCCCTGGGGTGTCCCACATCAGGGTGCTCTCAGAGGCATGAGCCCAAGAATAATTCTGGGTCCAAGTCCCAAGACTCCCTGGGGAGCCACCCAGCCAGATCTGGCTTGGCTTCCTGACTGGAGACTTGGTTCAGGGGGACTCAGACCCCAAAATTAGCATGTCCTTGCCTCTACTTCCCACTGCTAATCCTGAGCTGGGACTACCTTTGAACAGCTAAGCCAGAACCAGTGCCACCTGCCGGCAGAGGTAGGACTCCCAATCTGTCCCAGCTGGCCTGTCCCCAATGGCTTCTCCCAGATTCCAGAGCCAGGCTGCACTGGCTCACTCCACCATGCCTGTATTTTCACTCAGTCAATGTCCCTTGCCTTTAGGGACCAACAATGCAATCAACTGTGTTGTAACCTGCCACTTGCTCCTTTCCTTTTGGCAATCTCCTTTTACGTATGCAAATTTATTTCAAAAAGAAACTTCCTCTTACTACCCCCAAGTAACAAATCAGAGTTACCTGCTGTAGTTCGATGGCAGCTGGATAAACACCAAGAAACCTACAATGTTAAGAGGCCCCAGTGGGCCTCTACCCAGACAGGCTGCTGTGGGTCCTTGGCTAATGGAAAAATTAGGGCTAGGGACAAAGAAGCAAATGCAGTGGTTGTGATTGGTAAGCTGAGGCTTCCCATGGAAAACACCATCCAGGAAATAAGTGTCTGATTCTGTGTCCAGTGCTGTCACAGACCACGTGGGTCTGACTCATGCAAACCTGTGGCTCTGTTGCCTGCTGCTTGCCTGCGACCCCCAAGCTCTAGGCTCAGCTCTGCTTGCTCTCCAGCTCTGAAATTGGGGATCTGCTTTGATTTTGGCCACCTAGCCTCAGCCTTCAATGTCTCACAGAGGTGGCATCCAGGCTCCAGTGTCTGACTTAAGTCTGACATCTGGCAAGAGGGAGGGAATGCAAAGCCTGATTCTACAGCAGATCCTTGGATGGGTGTCTCAGCCCATCTAGCTGAGAGGCGGCCAGTGAGCCCGCTCAGCTCCTTTCCCAGTCAGGGGCCATACAGGCCTGGCACTCCCCAGCCATCCACCCACTGGCTCTGTGGACACACAGACCTGTGGCACTCCTGTCCTGCCTCAGATTCTGGG